ATACACTCCAAAGAATCCTGCGGAAGTATTGTCATCCACACCAACACGATTGGGATCAGTTACTCACAGCCGCCGAGATTGCCTACAACAACGATGTCTGCCCCTCCACTGGCATGTCCCCTTTCTACCTCGACCTTGGCTACCATCCCCGCTTGCCCTCTGACTTCTTGCTTCCCTCGCAGCTCAGCCCCTCCACCCCTTGCCCCTCTCTCAATGAATGGGTAGCAACAATGAACAGACTCCTYAGAGAAGCAACCGAAGCCCTTGAAAGGACACAAGAACAACAAGCCAACAAGACTAACAAACACAGACGTGACGTGCCATTCAAAGTAGGGGACAAAGTATGGCTTTCTGCCAAATGCTTTGAACCTGAACAAGGCTTGTCCAAGAAACTCTCGAACAAGTGGCTCGGTCCCTTCCCCATCATTGAAAAAACCTCTCCCGTGAATTACAAACTTCAGCTTCCACCTGACATGCGTCGCGTCCACCCAATCTTCCACGTAGAATACCTCAAGGAATACCACGAATCCCCAGCCAGTTCGCTGACCACCCTTATCCTAGACCACCACCAATCATGCTTCCAACAAGCCCAGAATTCATAATCGAGTCAATCATAGGACGAAGAACAACTCAAGTATCAGATCACCCGGAACCAATCACCGAATACAAAGTAAAATGGACTGGATACCCTGATGAAGAATCAACATGGGAACCCCTTGATAATCTCAAGAATGCCATGAAACTTGTCCGCACCTATGATCGTGCTAATCCTACGTCCTAGATACCTATATCACTATGGCATAAGCCCCCGCTAAACCCTTGCAACCCTACTCTACACACACCCTTGAACCCAGTCCACCCTTCCCTTGATCCTCATTCCTAATGTCTGATCTGCCCTTGCCCTCGCCTAGCCTTGTCCCATATGTCCTCTACTACCTTGTCTCTCTTGTCCAATGCTTATGAACTGGCGTGACATCGGCGATAAAGGATCTAATGGCAAGCACACGAGGACGATGGCCTGCTGCCTCACTGTTCATGGAGATTATGCAGCTGGTTTGGCGACCATGCTATTTCATTGGCCGGCATCCCGACTCGCGGACTTACTGGAGCAGCAACTTGTGACATGGATCTTTGCATCAGTCTGCGACTTCCTTGCTTCCAGATCAGACCTCATTGCAATTCGTGTACCGGACGCACCCTAGCACTTGGACTTTGACACTTGAACTACTACTATGCTTCTTGGACTTCTACCTATCGCAGTTGCTGAAGACCGCTTCTACCACCTACTCCAAAGACCTGATCAAGACCGTCGCAAACCCCCTTTCAAGACACTTGGACACTTTGTTCCTACATGAGATTATGCCGACTCCTTCGGACACACCAGCCTTTGCATCCTGAACAAACATTTTCATTTTTATTTTTCCTGACTTTGACAACCCTGTAGAACATCATTAGCAGATCCCTGTTTCCCTAACCATTGTTCCCCGTACCCACTAGAACATCAATAGACAGCCCCTATTCCCCTGACCATTGTTTCCCTTACCCACTACAACATCAATAGAAATACCCTGTTTTCCTGAACACCATTTCCTTTACCCAGTAGAACATCAATATAAGTTCTTTGTTCCTTGAACTATGTTCCCCCTTAACCTATAGCGAACCATGCACTCCCCTTAGTTCACGAGTAGGACCACCCTGCTCCCTATCTTCCCTTTAGTTCATTTGTAGGACTACCCTGTTCCGTGCAACCCCCCCCAAGTTCATCAGTAGGACAACTCTGTTCACCGGTACCAAACCCTGTTCCCTCTTACTCCCGCAGCCCATGCCACCCACATTATACCCCTCTTCCCTTTCGACTTGTTAACCAGTGATCGGCCCCGTCCCGTCCTTCACAGATTTCAACATTGCTTCATGATTTTCGGCAGCCGGGACGTTGCCTTCTAGAGGGAGGGGATAGTGTTACGGACTYCGCCAGGGCTCGATCCCTGGTCTATCTTTTTGCTGTTTCGGCTGCATCCCGTTTTCGGCCTGGCACCCTTTTTCCAAACCCCTCCTTTGGTACAGTAGGATTTTGGACAACTAGCGCCATACTGCAATTCGGGCGCCACTTTCAAATACTGCATTTTTCAGTTCTGCCCTCGGGGCCTTTGCAAAAAAACCCCTGATACCGTACGTGTCACCGATACTTATACCGGCTCCCCGTACGGTACGGGCACCAGTCTCGTACCAGTTTTCTGCTGCTGTACTCGTACTCACTGTGACTTGCTGTTTCGGCATTCGGAATCCAAGACTTCGACTTTGTGCCTTGCCACTGTGTCTGCGTCCGACCCTCAGTCCGAGTCCGTCGTGTCGAGTGAGTGAGTGTGTGTGTGTGCTCTCCCTCTCTCCCTCTCTCTCTCCCTCTCTCTCTCCTCTCCCTCGGCTCACCCTCAGCCTCACGCTCGTTACAGAAAGAAAGCAGCTTGGCTCCTTGTTGTATGAGTGCCCCCGCGTTCGCCCGCCATGTAAGGAAGTATAACATGTATGATCACGTGTTTGTTGCATATGTGCGCCCAGTTAAAGAGCGTGAAGTTAAAGAAGAGGCTAAACCCCAGTGGAAAGGATTCTGAAAGAATTCGCAGATGTGGAAGAGGCCCCATGCGGTGTAGTTGAGAGACCTATTAAACATCGCATTGAGATTATCCCAGGAAGTCAGATTCCTAAAGGGCCTATCTATAGAATGTCACCGAAGGAGTTGGATGAACTGCGAACCCAGCTTGATGAATTGTTGGAGAAGGGGTGGATAAGACCTAGCTCCTCACCCTATGGTGCGCCAGTGCTTTTTGTGCCAAAGAAAGATGGCGGGGTACGCATGTGTATAGATTATAAAAGACTTAATGAAATCACTGTAAAGAATGTTGAGCCATTACCGAGGACTGACGATCTTTTGGGTAGAGTTCAGGGTTGCAGGGAGTTCACTAAGATTGATCTGAAGTCTGGCTACCATCAGATTGAGGTAGAACCAGAGGACCAATATAAGACTGCCTTTCGAACAAGGTACAGGCACTATGAGTTCGTGGTGTTGCCCTTTGGTCTTACTAATGCACCTGCAACCTTCCAAAGAACAATGAATGAGCTTATTCGTGAATGGCTTGACAAATTTGTTGTTGTTTATCTTGATGATATTTTGATTTTTTAGTAAGAACTTGAATGAACATTGCGAGCACCTTCGACTTGTGCTAAATAAATTGCACGAGGCAAAATTAAAGTTAAACCATGAAGAAGTGTGAGTGGGCTAAGCGTCAAGTTTTGTATTTAGGGCATGTGCTTGATGGTGATGGTATCAAACCGGAAGATACGAAAATTGCAGCAATAAGTGATTGGCCTAACCCCCGCACTTTGACTGAGTTGCGGTCGTTCCTTGGGCTAGCCAATTATTATCGGAAGTTCGTTAAACACTTCACGATAATTGTTGCGCCCCTTCGCAGATTGCTTAAGAAAAAAACGATTTGGAAGTGGGATTCAGATTGTACGGCTTCGTTTAAACGCCTAAAGAAATGTCTGATTAATTATCTGGTTTGGAAGGTTGTTGATCCTTCTTTGTCCTTTGTCACAACTGAGGCCAGTCAATACGGGATAGGTGTTGTACTCCAACAAGATGATGGAAATGGATACAGGCCTGTTGAGTTTATGTCCCGACGACTGCCTAATGAGAAGGTTGCCGCTTCTACGTATGAAAGAGAGTTGTTTGCTCTCCGAGAAGCTCTAGATCACTGGCGACACTATCTCTTAGGACGCCACTTCAAAGTGCACTCGGATCACGAGACACTTCACTGGCTTAAAACGCAGGCCCGGATGACACCTAAGTTGACTAGGTGGCCGCTGAGATTGATCAGTATGATTTTGAGCTAAAGCCAGTTAAGGGTAAGTATAACATTGTTGCTGATGCGCTAAGTCGAAGATCTGATTTCTTCGGTGCCATTGTAACATATCTAGATGTAGGCACCGATCTGCAAGAGAAAATTAAAAGTGTGTATTCCACAGATCCTGTTTATGGCGCGATTATTAAGAGTATAGAAGAAGCACCTC